CGCCGTTGCCTCGTCTTCCTCGTAGTCGCCATTGTTATTGTTGGTTGTTGTTGTGGCGCATTTTGTTTGGTGCGGACCAATTTGTATGCGGCACACCATTAAGCGCGTCACAGCCAAAAGGCCGACTGTCGATTGAGAACTGTGCGGTCTGTGGCAGCCAAGTTGGCTACTAATTATGCAGTTAAACCAACAAAATACTGTTGAAATATTTGGGCGACGGGGCGTATGAGTAACTAGTCGTATATAATTAATAATAGATTTGCCATTGGGCGCTTGTGGTGGTGGTCAAGGTTTGATAAATGATTTCTTGTGCTCGGTCAGTGATTGTTGAGTGTAATGCTTTAATGATTGGCAACAACAAACAATAGTATAGCTTAGTAATAGTGCTGTGCATATGCTTGACTGCAGGAAGCAGTCAGTGTGTTAATGCGTCAAATGATTGATGAACTCGAACAGCAAGGAAAAGCAATGAAGCGAAAAGAAAACATTTTTAATAGTGTGGCCAAAAAGTCGAACTGCATATCCCTGTGAGAGCTCGCTGGCAGTGTTTTTTTTTTTTGGTGATACCTGTGGCAGTCGTTATGAGTGAACGCTGGCGTTGTTTGATAAAAAAATTGAAACAGAGGTATGTATTACCGACGCGCAGGTGACGGGCATAATTAATGCGAATAAAAATAGTTTTTATTTGCAAAATATGTATAAAAAAAAACGCTAACAAGGAATTCTTTCGACTGCAGTTCAAGGCAAAAATCAATGCTGTTAAAAATAAATGTAAAAATAGTCGCTTTTGGTTTGTTTTTGTTTATCGATTTTGGCATTGGTAACATACTAGTCACTAAGTCAGACAAATCGATGAAATTATAGATAAATTCTTATCTATAAAAACAAAACTTCTGTCACAAAGAAGAAAACAACACATATGACTGGTGTTGATGTTGAAAAAAGTGGGTACAGAGCAAACAACAACAAAAAACACAAACAAGTAAATATAAATAGGCCGAAATCTAGGGAAAACGTGTTGAGAATGATAAGAGTATAAAAATAAACTTGTTTGTATCTAAATAGCAGAAGTACGCTCAACACTCAATGCGATGTGATTGTTATATGGAAAAATAATAAAAACATGCAAAGAAGTAAACGTTTGGGAAAACCGAATTTTATATATCCGGCGCAGATTTTAAATATCGGGTTTTTACAGGGACCAGAAAAAAAAATTTTTTACTTTAAAATAATTGTAAAATCGTTATTTTTTATTTATATTTTTTCGATCATTTTTTAATCAGTTTTTGATATTTTTTTCGATAAAAATAATCATTATTCTATGATTTTTAATTGTTATTTTTTTTTTTAATTTTCCGATAATTAGAACGTTATTTTCAGATTTATTTATTTATTTATATTTTTTTTTAGATCATTAAATTACATCGGCTATAAAACGGTTATTATGAAGGCTTCTTACTTTAAAATCACTGCTAAAACGTTATTTTTGTATATACATATATTTTTACGATTATTTTTAATCGTCACTTAATTTTATTTTTATCTTTTTGATAAAAGTAATCATTATTCTATGATTTTTATGGTATCTTAAGCGATGGTCAAAATAAACGCGATATTTGGTATGTGTATCGACAAGTCAACCTGATGCTGTCATTATCGTCAATTTGTAAGAGCACTAACCTCAAAAGTGTTTTTATGAAAGGATTACACTGTAGTAGTAGTAGTAGTAGTACTAGTGTAGATTCCTAATTTGCTAGAAATAAGGTCATAGGATTCTTCAACATTCCTGAACAAATGAACTCAATTCGGTTTTCGTAAAGGCCATTCAACACGAGATGTGCTAAATTAAGTGGTGTCGGCAGTTCGGAATGGAATACAAAATAGAGGGTACAGAAAAACAATCAAAATGTCTTCAATTCGGCTAGCTGAAATAAAATAATGCTGGGCCTTTTTTTGTTTACATTCTGAAAATAGTTCGGAGCTATTGCTCGATTCGAACATTTCTGTGCAATGCCGAAGTGAGCGAACAGCTGAACATAATTTCACCGACATTTTTCATATATTTCTCCCTCCACAAGGAAAGTTTGCAGCTTTCGCTGCTGACCTAACGGTAAGCATTTTTTGAAAATAGAAAGGAAGCCAAATTCTGCAATGGAAAAAAATGCATCTGTGGATGCTTAAGATTAGTCTACCTATACCGGTAGAAAAGGCAGAAGCATTGGAAAGAAATCAGGGTCAGTAGAGTTTACAGTGCAGGGCCGATGCATCAATACGATCGTGTGGAAACATCAAGTACAGTTATAGAAGTAATTATCGGCTATAGATAAAATTTTCGACAATATGCTGAATGCGCAACTCGAAGATCCCGAAAATTGCAGCTATTTCACTTAAAGGTTTCTAACAATATTTCCATCCTGCTTGTAGTAATGTCGCTTTTTGAGGCTGCAATACAGTGCAGCGTAAGTTGCGGAAAATTTCCACCCTCGATAAGTAATGGTCGAAGAGGTGCGGCGGTGAGAACGAAATGGGCACCGAATTCCAACGAATGACTTTTAACACCAAATTTATCCGGTTGTTTTGAGTATTTAGCTCAATTTACTTTGAGAAATTGGTAAGATTGGTAACTCCTTTTCCAAAGTTATTTACTGGCACTCTAAAATCGCTGCTAAGCCTTTTGGCCTTACCCGATGGACAAAGCTATTTTAGACTAAGATAATTCTTTATCGGTTGGATGCTTCCGGCACTACTGTGTACTATGTTTTTTGCAAGAAATTTCCGTCATCCCTTCTAAGAGTTGTTGAGTAGCTTAGTGGTTCCGATGTAGTCCCATCTTCTTCGGTATTTTACACTCTGTATGAAGGAAATTCGTTCCAAAATACATGACACTAATTTATTTAGTTAAGACACTGTGGTTTGTGCAGCGAGTCACCTTCAGTGGAATAAGGGGGGCACTTCGCAATAGCTTCCAATGATAACAAAGTTAATCCCGTTCCGGCATCGGCTGCGTTCAGACCTTGGGTCTCGTGATATTGGGGTCGATGCTTCTAGATATCTAAGCTTTTTTTTTTGTTCTGATAGTCTAGTCGAAATCAGTTCTTTCTCTACTCATAGCCTCAACAAGGATAATAGGACGGGAGATAGTAGTTAGAAGAGCTTAAACCGCATTTAGGCTTCTGGATCACTGTAGCGCAGGCATTTCGCTGCTATTGAGAAAGTAACTAATTATTTTCTTGTTAGACTTGTATGGATATTATATTGCTTGAAATGTGCATGGCGAATCGGTTGGCCATGAAAAGTACTCTTGAGACAATCTAATAGGGAAGAGAGAGGGTGTGAGCATGTTTGAAAACCTCCAAACTACTCTTGGACAGATAGGTCTCATGTTAGCTCTCAGCGAATACTGAGCGAAAATAAGAACAGGTGTAGGATATTTCTGCCCCACAGCGAAACGAGAATGATCTTGGGCTCGCAAAGCCATAATACATACTTTAATTCTGGCTAGTATTTTGACAAGATACTACTTATAGTAAGACCTTCGCTGCTTCCGCTGTTTGAAAAATAATAAGATAAAAAAATCCAACCAAAACCATTTCTTTAAAGTTGCTCACATCTTTCAAGACCGAGTCTAAAAACTTTACCTCATTAAACTGCTGAAATCTTGTTTTGACCGCAAAAAGCTTAGCAGACACTATTCATAAAGGAAAACTGTTTATGGTGGAATATGCCAGCCTTGCCTTGTACTATCACTTTAACCCAATCCCACCTAGTCTTACCTAACGAAGAAAAAAATATTAAAGTGCAAAATTATATTTCCCCAAACAAAAAAAAAAACAATTAATAAGTTTTGCACGCGAACGAGGAAAATAAAGTAAATTTAACTAAATAAGTTAATAAAAGATACATGAAAATCCACTTTCACATTTAGTTTTCCGCACTTGTGTTCGTATGCACATACATATGTATAAAAAAGTACATTAGACCGTACCCCCTTACAAGCAAACAAAAGTTCTAAAAGGTCTAAAGTAGTTTTGCATGGGAATTTAAAAAAAAAAATTTTCTTTGGCCGAACCAAGGCAATATTTTTTTTAATAGTTCTTATAAAATACTCGAAATACCTCCTGAGCAAAAGTTTAATCATTTTTGGTGAGCTTTAATTTACTGACATTAGAGTGGGTGGTTTGTTAGGGTGATAAGAACGGAGATCTGGTGGGTAAGTACTATAATGGGGTACTTGGGGTACTTTGAACTTTGAAACAAAAAGATTGTCTCCACGCGACAAATAAGTACATCGATATATCATATGAAAAAGATATGACGAAAAATGTAAAAAGGCGAACCTGGACAAATGTGAAAAGCCAAAATTTGGTTTTTTTTAATTGCCTTGCAAAAATAGTTCAGACTCAGTGTTCCGACACGCTCTAAAGTACATGCAACAAAAATTGTATATTTCTGATTTGTATTCGCATGAAAGCTAGATACGAATGTTTGTGCTTATCGTAAACTTTTACGATCCACTTTTACACAGGAGAGTAATTACAAAATGCATACACGCATACAAGTGCTTCTATGTATTTTTATTTTTTATTTTAATAACAACTCCGGCCATTTCAAACATTCATGCAGAAATGTTTTAAAAGCATACAAACACTACCGGCCATATCGCTCAGCCGCGACAGCTGTTCCCATTCTCCAATTCTAAATAAATTCACAATGAATTTATACCGCAGTCAGTCAGTCACTGCAGACGATATCTGTGATTTAGTTTTATGCTAAGTAACCAAACAGCTGGTCACATACGGAATGAGCTTTTTCAGACAGGAAAAATTGTTGAATTTGTGGGCAGATAAAATATGAATAAATGCTATTGTAGACATATTTTGATATAAATAAAAAGATAATAAGAGGAGTTTAATACATAATAGTTTAGTCTGTAAATATATATATATATGCGTCGAACTATGTTGTATTAATTTTTGGTGATTTCAATTTCTTCCTTCCAGTTTGGCAATAAAAAATGCGGAAGACAATGCACCAACAAGACGTGATCCAGCGAGCATGGATCTGCTACTGGACGGTGAACAGTGAGTATAAATATCAATATTATTTTAATATGCATTCATAATTATCCTTGTTTGTTCAATTTTGCTCAACTCGCAGGCCCAGTCTGGAGGAGATAAGAAGTTGGGGCAAAAACTTCGATTTGCTAATGAAAAATGCGGGTGAGTAGACAAATTTATTTAAGAGTAGATAAAAGTAATATCGGCCCGATACAAAATTTAGCGAAGTAAGTGGTCAGGTGAAAAACTCACAGGTGGCCTTAAAAGAAGCTTAACAACCTAAGGCGTGTTTTCGACATACGACATATGAATTAAGTTCAAACGCCTGACTGACTACGTTTTCGTTTTATTTAAAAATGGCAGGAATTTTCCCGAAGATGTTGATAAGCAATGTTAAGATATTCGTAGATGTCTGTGTAAAGAGTTTGTTGCTCTTCAGATTGTTATCGTTTTCGAGGGAGAAAGTATTAAAATCCTGAACCCCTTCAGTGTAAGATTTTAGAACGCTAAACCTCTGATTTTTTTTTAAATGTTTTCTTAGTACTTTGTCTATAGCTGGTTTGAATATTCTGCTCTACATTTATTGTTATCAAGTTGGTTCCGCCTACTGTTTTGGCGCGACTTCTAACACCAAGCGCCTAAATGCATGCTATGCACTGCTGCATGTGCAAAAATTCCCTTTATGAAATTGATCAGATTTTTGCACATACACTTCTCAATTGCCATATAATTCAATTGTTTTAAGTTATTATTTGATGGCACTTCATATTATGCTCGGCCTAGTCTGATGCATTCTGTGGAGTCCGGACACTGCTGGTGGTAACTAATGGTTACGATTAGCCACAGTGTCTACCCACCACTTTTGAACTAGTAAATATTTTGTATTATATAAATTTATGCATACATTCTGGTTCTCCCTCCCACTGAATTATTCGGGCACTATTCAAAATTTAGCTTCTAAGTCGAGTTTCGTCCGTTTACAGCATTTTATTTCCGCTTATTCCATTTGTCAGGCTCACCCTTTTAAGCTGATGAAGCCTCATCACTATTGTTATTTTTCGATCATCATTTTTTCGCTGCGGCATTAATAATATCATTCCAGGCATCACGGTTCTTCAATATCACTGGTACTACTATTTCGGGCTTGACAATGTTACCGAGAGCTTCGTTGAGTTTTCTGCTTAGATTTTTTTCCACAGATATGCAAAGAACACATCGATAGTGGAGTGAAAGTTCGTCCTATCTCGGATGATGATTCGAAAACGCCCTATTTAAGATTTCCGTTGAGGAATGCCCTATCACAGCTGCCGATAGATTGAAATTATTTTGAGATAGAATATTTTTAACCTAATTCTTTAACGCGACCTTAGGTTTTTGTAACAAAGTATAACAAAAATGTGCTCCAGATTTTGCTGAAAGGTAAATAAAAGCTCTGTGAACATTTTTAGCGCATAATTTCAAAAATGCAAAATTTTGAGTTGTCACTCTTTTGAAGACGGCAGTAAAATCTCTCATACCAGGCATAGTTGTCCTTTCTACTTAAGCTATGGAGCAAGGATTAAGAGGATACGATAGCACAGATGGCCGCGGGAATAACTACATACGTCTCTGCAAAATTACCAGACTATTTTATAAAGATTAGTAGTTTGCCAAGGGACTGAAATTCTATCTCTTCTATTCTCAAATAAATTCGACCCAAAAAATGCACCATCTCAGTCTGTCTAAAGCCAGCCTTCTGCAGAAAAAATGCTCTGTACCATCCTCAACCTTCTAACAAGATGCACGTAGTGGATCATGAGGATGGCTGTGGTGACCATCTTTCATCCCCCATAGATGGTGTACCGTAACCAGTCTCGCAGTGCCTTCTCTGTCCAAAAAGGAATTTCATCACCACCCTGTCTGAACTTTTCAGGAAAAATCTGCTTCTTCTCAGCAGACATACTCTCTATAAATATCCAACCAAAATAATGTTTAGCTTTTTAAATTATGGAGATTGGGTATTCTCGTTTTCTGGAGCAACCTAAACTTTTCTCCACCCGCCTTTTGAGATAATTGATAAGGTAGAGAGTAGTTCCTTTTCCAAGTCGTGGCCTGCCATTAATGACTTGAATGACTTGTCTTTCGCTGGTAAAAAAAATGTGTTTGTTACCAGGATTCTGTATTCCCAATCTATAGGACGAAATATGTCTAGTAAAGTAGATTTTTCACACGCGACCAACATTTCCACATAGTGATGATGCCTACAATCTCCATCGAAGAAGGGAGAATATCAAAAGATATGACAGGTAAACCGAGACTGCAATACGAGATTTCTATCATAAGTACATCTTGAGAGCAGAGCTTTCTAAGCATCGCATATTCAACCGATTATTATATATTTCTCTCACTCTAATTGGAAATACGTTACCACAGAAAATGCACTTAATACCACAGATAAGCCATGGTTACCGGAATAGAATTATTTGGGAGACATAGAATTACCTCGTTTGCATGTTCTTTTCTGAAATATGGATGAATAGGAAAGCCTGAAAGTTTGGAGCTCTCTTATTATATTTATGTTTGTTGTTACGAGCGTCTTCCGGTTCGGTTTAAGCAGACAAAAAAAAAAGTCGGAAAAAACTGCTCGTTACCAAAAAGCCTATCTTGGCCACTTTAGCAGAAAAAATGATTTGATTGTTTACGATACTAATTATATCGTATCGAAACGGTTTTACAAATACCTCATTCACCCCGAAAATATATTATACTTAACATATACAACGTATATGTTTACAATTAAGTCAGCTAAACTCGCGGCGACGTTTTCGGATCGCTATTAGCCTGTACTTGCTTATTTGTTATTTAACCCATAATTGAAAGAAACAGATTAGTGACATGCCTTGGCGTATGAGTAACCTCTGCCCAAAGTATGTACTACAATAATTCTCTTTATACCGTAAAAGTTTGAAGAATGAGTTAAATGTCAATAATTGAAGGTTAATTTTTGGAAATGTATTGTGCTATCACCAAAGCCTTAACCTTTCATGACCTTAATAAATGTCAATGAGGTGACTTCTAAGAGCCTAAATTTATTATTTATTGTTATTGACATACAATTTGGTATTCAAAGAGCCTATCTTTGATTGGAAATACATACATATATTCATAATATCGATATGTCAACAAAGATAAATAAAGCAGAAAGTGTGTCAGTGAGTGAGGTGAAAGCCGAAAACCGAATAGCTTACTGAGACAACACTTCAACAATCGCAATGTAGTTGCCTTCGTTTGCCGTTTCCACCAGACTGTAAACGAATTTTCACTAAGTTTGAGATGTTAAATCAATAGTAGTAACCGATTGCAGATACATAAATATGCAGTTAGTTTTCTTTGTAGTAATTTGCTGGCCAGTTATTTATATATATTTTTTTCGTTTTTGTTTGATGCCTACCTGTCGAGCTGCTGTTTTTGCTGCTTTGCTCGTTTCATTTGTTGGGGTTGGTCAAATTTAGCGGTATTTAAAGGCATTTGGTGCAAATTTGTTGACATTTGTGTTTGGTTTGGTTGTCAACTAGCTTTTGCTCTTGGTCCTTGCGGCTGTGGCCACGTACTTAGTATATTGGTTGAATGTGTCTTGAAATAAAAAGAGAGTGCGATGGTTACACTTACTTATGCAGAGTATATTTAGTATAAGAAATTGCTACTTACTTAGATTACTTAGTTACATCGTTTGTGCGCATTCGTATGCGTGCTTATTAAACATTTTACCTTACTTTTATATTTATATTTACTTTTCCTTTATGTGGCGCTCAGCTATAAATCTTTCACTACAACTAGTATGTAAATAGTAAAAGCACAATGTAAACACGCGATGTCACTTTCTTTCAACAACTCTATTAGCATAGTTTACTCACCTGTCGTGTGGTTGGTTCTTCTTCTTCATTCAGTCCCGTTTGTAATGCGGCACCAGCGGGTAGTGATTTACATTTCATGCAGCCAAGGGCGTTTAACCGCAATTAACTTCTCCTTAACTCAGTTCGAAAAAAAAAAGAAATGAAATACTCACATGTATGTATAGCGTTTGCTACATTATTTGGTCTACGTTTTAAAGCTGTTTTGAAGAGTAGAAAAACTTGTTGTTAATGACTTACTTAGGTTGGTAAAGCGCAAACGTCATTCAATCAAACGTTAAAAAATTGTCCCATACTCTTTCCACCACTTCCACCATTCTTCTTCTGAGGTCACCCTGCCGACAATAGTCTCGCGAAATTTCACCTAAATAGATCAGTAGCTCCAGCTTTTGAACAGGTAGTTTTGAGATAAATAGATAGAGCGTGATTGCAGAAGGAGAGCAGCAGAAGAAAGATACACGTACTTCTGGAATCCTCATTACTTAAAAAAAAATGTGCTTTTATTATTTTGAGCAAAAAATACCGATTTTTATGCGCAAAAATATTTGCAAGGTTTTTAATTTTTTTTTTTTCATGGAAAATTAACCGTAGAATTATAAAATTTTCTGGAATTTTTTCCGAAAATGTACATGATTTTTCGAAAGTTTTCTTCGTGTTTGTATTTTCGTGATTTTTTACGGTGTTCTTTGTATTTTATTTGTTACCATTTTTTTGGGATTTTTTCAGTATCTGTTTGAATTTTTTCAGGACTTTTTAGTGATTTTTTTGTTTTATTTTTGGATATATTTCTGGATTTTCCCGAGGTTTTTCTCAGTTCTTTACGTTTAATTTTTGGCACCCTTCAGAATTTTTGAGGACTTATTCGGATTTTTTTCCCCGAAATTGGGAATTCGGGATTTTTCGAGGCTTCTTTACAGAAATGTGATGCTCTGTGCTTTTTCCCAATATCTTTAAGATTTTTTAGGGACTTTTTAGAAAACTTTCCAGATTTTTCTAAAGTTTTGTTCGTGCTTTGATTTTCGGGATTTTCTTCCGGTCTTGTATGATATTTTTTCGGAATTCTTCGTGTGTTTTAGGATTTTATGGATTCTGTTTGGGATTTTTTAGGGATTATTTATTCTCCATGTTTCATTTCTCAGAAGCTTTCAGGATTTTTCGGGATCTGCCTGGATTTTTTGAACACTTTGTGATTTTTCGAGCTTTTACTTACTTTTTGATTTTTCGCGATTTTCCAAGAATTTTCAAGGTTTTCTGGGACCGTTTAGAACTATTGGAAGTTTTCTTCGTGTATTTTATTCTCTGGATTCTTTAAGATTTTTTGGGACATTTCAAAATTTATTCAGGACTTTGGGAACTTCTCCGAATTTTTCGGAATCAGTGCGGTTTTCGAGAATTTTCAAGATTTTCTGCGACCTTTCAGAACTATTGGAAGTTTTCTTCGTGTATTTTATTCTATGGATTTTTCAAGATTATTGGGAAATTTTAAAACTTGTTCAGGACTTTAGGAATTTCTCAAATTTTTTCGGAACCAGTTCGGATTTTCTCGGAATTATCCGCATTTTTCGGGAAATTTCTGGATTCTTCGTGTTTTTTTATTTTTCATAAGTTGTCAAAATTTTTTCGGGACTTTTGGGAACCAATTTTCACTTTTATTAGTTATTTTTTAAGAAGATTTTTTTACATTTTACTCATTCTTTGGCTTCGTGTTTTTGTTTACTTTTGTTTTTGATTTTTCAAGGAGAGCTTTTATGATTTCAAAATTTTCTGGAAAATTCTTCAGGCGTTTATCATTTATCTATCAAAACTATCAAACAGCTTTTGCAAAAAACATTATTTGCAGACAAATTGTGAGCCATGGTTTAAAAACATTAATAAACCGGTCGAATATCCATAGTAATGGGCACTCTTATTTCTAAATGTTAATTTTGAAATTATCATATATTTTAATCTTTCAATATTTACCTTTACAGCTGGGCGCAAAGTGTTTCGTGACTTCCTACGTAGCGAATTCAGCGAAGAGAATATCCTATTTTGGCTCGCCTGCGAAGAGTTGAAAAAAGAAAATAGTTCTGAGGCGATCGAAGAGAAAGCGCGTCTCATCTATGAGGACTACATTTCGATATTGTCGCCACGTGAAGTGTCGCTGGATTCGCGCGTGCGTGAGATCGTCAATCGTAATATGGTCGAACCGACAACGCATACCTTTGACGAGGCGCAAATACAAATCTACACGCTCATGCACCGAGACTCATATCCAAGGTACATATATACATACATACATATATATTATTAATAGACTCATATATGCTATATGCTTGTTTACGATAGATTCCTCAACTCGCAGAAATTCAAAGCGCTGGCACAATTACAAGATGGCAGCTTATCTGCAGCGGCTTCCACAACAGACAGTCCCACTTAAGAAGGTGGCAAGCAAGCGTTTGCTGAACCAGCGAAAGTCAACAATTGGGGGGAGAAAAAACGAAAGCACTTCACAAAAAAAAAAATTAATAAAAATAGAAACAGATGGTAAGCTTTAGTTTAAAGCTGGGGAAAGTGAAGTAAGTGGAAGTGGAAGTGTCAAAATGAAGTGAAAAAACGAAAAAGTAGTAAGCAAAAATTGTAAACCGCAAACAAATCAGCAGATCAGCAAACCAACCAACCAACAAACAAACAAACAAACAATAAAGTGTGTTCGCAAAAGGCTTGCGGAATGCAACAATTAAATTTAAGTAGCACCTAAGCTCTAGCACTAGACAAGTTTAAGGACTAAGCGTAAAAGCATTAAGCACTTAAATGTCTAAGCAGATGATCTAAGGTTCTACTACAGCAGCAAAAGATAAAAAGGTTATAATAACAAGAACAACAACAGCAACAATATATATATTTATGTATGTACATATGTATTCTTAAGGAGAAAAGTTTGCTACAGTTTTTAGTTTCCTACTAGCTTGTAAGCGTCAAGCGAAAATACTTACCACATACACATCTAGTATGCACTTACTTTTACTAATGTGCTTATGTATTTGGGTACTTATTTATTTACATACTTACTGGTTTATGCAGCATACTCTCTCTCGCTTGTACGAATTTCTAGTCGATCATTACTTAAGAACTGTTGCTTTAGATAGGCGCCAAGAAAGCATGCAGAGAGTGATTTAAATACATACAACCATTTTTTACTAAATTTTTAAGTTCATAAAAAGCAGATAGTAATAATGAACACAAAACAAAATAAGATAAACAAACACAAAAAAGAAGCAATACATAATTCCTTAAAAAAAATAAATAAAAATTGCAGCAATCGGCTAAGTAAAAAACAGTAATAAAGCACAAACTGTAGAGCAACAGAAGTAGGCAGAGTAACAGGAAAAAAGCACAAAGCGATTTGGGGGACTTAGAAACTGTAAGAAAATTGGGTTTAGATGAAACACAAAGCAAAGCAAAGGAAAGCAAAGCAAACAAGTGAAACATTAAAACGAATTGTATGCGCACAAATTGATGTTAAACACAACTAAAATGGCTAGAACTCACGCTTGGAAGCCGAAAGTGGTATACAAACAAAAGATTTAAAATTTATTAAAAAAAGTATTTATATATGTAAATGTGCTCGTAACACATGAACAAATAAATTAGTTGAAATGCATGGAAAAATGCGTCAGACATCAATCTAAGCGAGATTATATGTTTGTAAGTATGTACGTAAGTGTGTGTAGACAAAATCTAGTCAGCGCGGCTGTTAAAAAAAGCGAAAATAAATTGCAAAAATACAAAAAAAAGTTAGAATAATCAAATATGCGTGCAAATACTGGCAATGCGCCTTGTGGCAGCATAGTTTTAGGCGCCGTGTGTGTGAGTCAAACAAAAATTGCAGATACACACGTGCAAATGCACAATGAAAGAAGCCAGATGAAGTTAGACATATACATTAGGGTGGGTCAAATTGTTCGGGTGAAGAAAAAAATGCGAAAGGGGTATAGCAAAAACAAAATCAACGCAAAATTTAAAAAAAATTGCCCAAAGGAACTAGGGTTCTAAAATTAAAACCTAGTCCGCGCAGACGGGCATAAAGATTTCAGTTTGAAGTATTTGGAAACCACTGCATATATTTTTATGTCTCTCGGCTGGAGCTGGATTTTAGACCCACAGTTTCTTGGGGAAGTTTTCTTAGAATTCTACGTAGATAACGTTTTTGCAATACGCCTTTGACATACATACATATGTATTTATGTATGTAAATACAAGGTGCGAGTGGTACGTTATATCTATTTTTTTAATTAATAAATTATAAAGATGTAGGGCCGTTTTCTCAAGTAGGTTTTAAAATTTATCAGACCTTTAATCAAAAAAGTTTGTTATAAAAAAAAGTTTGTTATATAAAAAGTTTTAATACCTATGTACTTGAGAAAACGGCACTTAGAATTTGAATTAATTGTTTTTTTTTTTTTTTTTTTTTTTTTTTTTTTATAAAAAAGGTGCCTTTATTTAAAAATAAATTTATTATTTATTGCTATTTAAAAGTCTTTGGCACTTCAGTTGTTTCCTCTTCTCGTAAACTAGCGCGAATCAGCGTAGTCCCTAATTACATGTAAGGCATATTCAACTCAGAGGAGACATTCCTTTTCCGCCACCACTGCCAACGGGTATAGCGAGGCAAAATATTTCGATGTAACGGGGAAATCAACATTGATGTTAAAATATATCGCCAGAAATTTTTTAATACATCTTTAGTTTGCGGACTTTTACAATTTGTTGAAACCTGTTTAAATTTAAAAGAAAATTTAATCTTTTTCAAATAGAACCAATTCTGCAATTCAATCAAAGAAATACACACAAACTTATACGTGGGTTCCCCTGTATTCAATTAGCTCTCCCATAATTAGAATAAAAGTTCATACCGAATGGTCGCTGGGGACTAAAGCTTAACGGCCCGATAATTTAAATTTTTTTTTTTGAAATTCTAGAAGCCTGGATAATGAGTATTTTTCTATCATTATGGTAATATATTGGTCGTAGATATGTGGTTGGTCCATTTTTAGGTTAGGTTAGTAATTTCTGAATAATATTCCTCCAAAGAATGAATAATATAAAAATTCAAGATCACTTAATTTCTTTTAGAAAATGTTGGTGTTGGTAAGGTGAAGGCTAAGCTCAATCTCGCCCCTGTTGACATTGTGGGCAAAGTTGCCGAGTTCCCTCCGCAATTAGGCTTAAAAGCTCTGGGTTTTATTTCAATTCGATGAACGAGCACTTCACAATTCTTAAAAGCTTCGATTGCCAAACCAGCAGAAATGGCTCGGAGCTTTCCGTGGTTGGCCCCGAACGAAATCTTTTCCACACGCATCCCTCAAAGGGGCGAATGTGAGAATTGTAGGCGCTGGAGTAGAGATCCAATAAATACTTTTATCGATGGATCGATGCTAGGTGGCAACCGTTTGGCTACGCACAATTGTGTGTCGAGTAGAAGGGTAAATATCTACTCTGGTAGCCAAGCAGCAATTAGGGCACTGGTATGATCGAAATTGGTCGGAGAATGCCGGAAATCTCCCAATCGCCTTGAAACATCACGGAAAATTCCAGGCCTGAGAAATGGGCTAGGCAGGGAACCCTGTAGGTCAACACCTCAGACAGGGAGGACAATGGAATTATTTTGTCAACTTGTGGCCTACTCCTTGATAGATGCGCTTACAATTGGCTCAGCGAGCGCTGGGAAAAAACGCCGACGTGCAAAGTTTCAAGATTCCTCTGGCCCATTTTTGACCGTGCACAGTAAAGGGGGCTTCTACAGCTAACTAAGTGCCAGTAGTCGGTTCTTGCAGGTGTACTCACGGCACTTTCTTCTCAGCTTTCCGGCATTCGCTAGACTAAGGCTTGCCAGACTAACAACTCGGCACGTATTTCATCAATACCCCGAGGACAGCAGCTGCCTGCGGAACTTTGTTTTAGGCATCCAGCGCTGCTCTTAACCTAACACAGATTATCTGTGGTTACCGTTAGAAGAATTTTATAATCTGGTAACATAATTGACAATTCTATTAATGACTTCGTTGTATTATATGGGACTTTATTAGCCACCTCCAAATACCAAAAAATATGAGCATCACATTTGAAAATTTAAATCCTTTCATTTAGGGAATCGCCTTTCTAAAGATCTCAATAAAATATTACTTTATGGCCTAATAGGGATTTTTATTCTTAAGTCTATAGAGCTTGCGGCCTGCACAGTGTGGAAAATTATTTTTTTTGCGTCAAAATTCAAAATTGCGAGCACGAGAACAATCGGCGAAATTAATTTAAGAGTAATTTAAAGTTTAAGGAATGTAGAATTAAAAAAAAAAACACTTTCGCTGGATAAAAAAATTCGCCTAACTTTACAAATTTTGTTCCGTTTTCCGACCTGAAAAAAACGACCTTCGAAAGTAAACTTTTTAAATTTTTTACTTCTTTGACCTGAAAACAGTTTGCAATGAATTTTTTGACAAAGTTTCCAGATCTTTAATATTTATATTGAGCTTTGTACCACGATTGTTTATTAGGTAAAATTGAAACAGCAACAAAGTCTAAGCGGTAGAAGTTATAGCAGCTATTTCGGAGATCACCACATCTCTTCATCAGACTTCTTTTTTCTAGACTTCAGCAGGGATCGAACCTGCGTAATCGATGTTCAAAGTCAGAAGCGTTTCCAGTTCTATTTTGCTGTTCTTGTGTGAAGGAATCCATTTCGAAAAAAACCGAAAAACATATTTAATTGTTTTCTAAAGTTGATAGCTTACTGTTTTCAGATTAAAAAAAAAAAAGAAAAAAATATTTAAATCCATTTTTAACACTATTTTTGATAGTCTCAAAACATTTATAATACTGTTAAATTTATTTCGCCAGCTGTTCTCGTTCTCGAGGTATTACATAGATTTTTTACAAAAAAAGTTAACTTTTCACACTGTGGGCCATTTATTATTAAGATATTTGCGGGCAACAACAGTGAACTCGAATCTAATCTTTGTAAACTACTATTCTTTTCCGCAAAAATTTTCATAAATAATGGCCTCAAGCTTTATAAAATTGTAGATTTTTTTTTTCATTTATATTTTGTTAAAGTACCATTCCACCATGTATATAGTATTAACAAATGAAACGAAAGCGAAATCTTATAATTCCAATAATTATTTACGATTAAAATTTATGTTGCTTAGTTTTTAAAATAAAAATGTTAAAAAATTCCGAAATAACTGGTTATAAATTAAATTGTTGATGTAAGTATGTCTATTTGTTTCGAATTTGTTTAAACTAATGATTAAACAAAACTGTTGGTTATTGCGAACTTTTTTGTTGTTGTTATATGTATTTTGTATGCCTTAGTGAAAGTTTTAATTTCACTAAAATTTAAACAAAAATTTAAATTTGTTAACGGCGAAAGTTTCTCTGACCACAACAACAACAACAACAACCAAAACAGCCACAACAACAAAAACAAATGAATTTTTTACATCGAAAGCATTTTGTAAATACATGTGGTTTTAGTTAAAAAAAAAAATATAAAAATTGTATTATCAATGAAATTATTTAGTACTATGAAATAATTACAAATTAGCTATGTACTGTACTTATGTATGTATGCATGAATTATACGATTGTATTATTGTAATTATGTATGATTTGTTTTTTATAAAAATATATATATATATACTTAACTTAAGTACACAGTTAGTTAAAAAAAAATGTATGTTAATGTATTTGTTAGTATTTATGTATTTATTAAAATAAATAATTTGCCTAGTCAAGTAGTGAAAAAATTTAGCGCAAATAAAATTAAAACACAAAAACATAAAAAACACAATTGAAACAAAAACACTTAGCAGCCATAAACACATACAAATATAATGCAATATTGATACCAAAAAACTTAAAACAAAACCAAAAATAAATAATTGTGAATTAATAAGGGTATTCAGCCCAAACTCGTTAATGGCGTAATGTGGTTTTCGGTAATCTTTAGTATTTTTTATTTTTTCGTAAATTTACCAAATTCCGAATAAATCAATACCAACTTTACGAGGCTAAAAGTCTGATAATGTGAGTAAAATGAGTAAAACACTCGTCAAAACATCTGCTGATTTCTTACTGTCACTTATGCGCTGTAATTGTCTGGCGCGAAAAGAAATAACGAGCAGGAGTTAAAAGGGTTTTCAAATTACCGCATAACAATTTATTACGTTAACAATGTTTGGCTTGTATACCCTTAATAAGAAATTAGGTTAAATTAATTTATTTAGAAAAAAGTTGTTGAAATATACGAATTAAATTTTAATTTCTACAAAACTATAAATGCTTGTGTTTTTATTTTATGAATTATTTCAAGTAAAAGTTTTTATTGGTATTTATTTTTAATGATTTCGCCATTCATTTAGTTTCTGAGAATTATTTTTTATTTTATTTCTTATAGATAATGTGGTGAAAAGAAACCAACAGATTTTATATTTTATCTGGCCTAATAACTACGGCGACCATCCGTACTTTATTTAACAAAGAGGAGTAGTTCTTTGATTTTATTTATTTAAAAAAAAACAAAATGTATTATGTTCCTCATCGCAAAACTTGTTCTTTAAAAACACGACTTTTTTGTTACGATATCAGACATTAATGCATTTCATATATATTCTAATTTCCATTTTTGTGCAAAATTTTTAGAAATTGGTCCAATTTTCATCAAAATTTCACTGTTTTTATTCAGAATTTTCAGCTCATTCAATTCTACTATAATAAAGAGTAAGTTTTACAACTACCGTTGATTTTTGGCAATTTTTTTTTTTTGATGATGTTGCGAATTGCTCGATGTGCACGCGAAATTAAATTTTTTCCATTTTCGTCAACGGAGGTTGTCTGTTTTCAGCGGCTGTCAAACGCAAACTAAATGTTGTAGGTTGTTCAAATTTTGATATTAGTCTACTAACAGTTGACAGTTGGTATGAGCAGTGTTGCATTTAACTGCGCTTTAAAAAAGTTTCTAACTTTACAAACTGCTCTCCTCGTTATAAAAATTTATTTTAAATCGAAGAATTATGAGAACGTTCCTTAATCGTCATTTCAAAAGTTTGTTTTAAAACAAGTGGGTGTCGTCATTCATATTTGAGAGAGTCGAAAACTGTTTGAATTTCTGGAAAAAAGGGAAGGCGTGTTGAAGTTCATTTTGATATTGGGGAATATACAATTTGTTTCTTTTAATTTCTCTTACTTCTGTATTTATTTCAGTTTCATC